CACTTTATTGAAATCTTCTTTTAGTTGTTTATTTATTTCCTATATTTTTTTGTTAATATTATGGAGGTTTGTTATATACAATCAATAATTTCTCAAGACATTATGCATGTTAATACTATTTTGCAAACAATTAGTTTATGTATATGTGCAGCATTATTCTAATGATTATTTGCATACATATGTTCTGCAATTATTTAAAATATCAATTTTCAGTGTTACAGTTTACAAAAACTAAACATGTAAAAACCTGATCATACAATATTATGCTGTATTAAATGCTAATTTCCTTTTTTTCATTCTTGGCTTCTTTCACAGCTCACATTTTCAGTATCAGTCTTAAAAAGAATTCACATTTATTAAGATTAATGTAAAACAAGTGTTAATATAATGCTCTGATGATTCTTGCAATTAATTACAAGAATGATATGGAAATCGTTGGAGCGCTGTATACACAACATGGAAATCGTTATTTCATGTTACTATGTACAACTATACAATTAAATATTACAATTTTCATGTGTATGATAAACGAATGATACTTGTTCAGAAGTGTTGTAATCGTATTCATCTTGAAACTATGGCATTTGCATTGTGTATGCTCGTTAATTTCTCCGCAATGCAGCAAATATTTTATTGTTGAATTTCTACAGAGGAATCGGACATGGACCGCATTTTCAAGTTACCGTCTACCACCTTTATCGGTGGCAAAGAGAAATCATTACCTCTTCGTGAAATCCTGAAGAGATTGGAGGCTGCGTATTGCGGTCACATCGGTGTGGAGTTCATGTTCATCAACTCGTTGGAACAGTGCAATTGGATTCGTCAGAAAATGGAGACACCTGGTATTATGGAGATGACGAACGACGAGAGGAGACTTATCTTAGCTAGATTAACTCGCGCAACCGGGTACATTAAATATCTTTCAAACCTTTCTGTTTTTACGTAGGTTTCAGTTCATTGACTTCTGTGTTCCTAATTTAGTTTCGAAGCGTTCCTTGCTCGCAAGTGGTCGTCGGAGAAACGATTTGGATTAGAAGGATGTGAAATCTTGATTCCTGCCATGAAGCAGGTAATCGACAAGTCCACTGAATTGGGTGTTGAATCCATTGTAATGGGTATGCCTCATCGTGGCCGTCTGAATGTTCTTGCCAACGTTTGCCGTAAACCTTTGAGCCAAATATTCACACAGTTCGCGGCTCTTGAAGCAGCAGACGATGTAAGTGCATTATCATTTTACACAGTCTTTTTCATCTTGTTAAAAGTTTATATACCTCACGTGACTGATCACCGAGGACATTTTAGGGTTCTGGTGATGTGAAGTATCACTTGGGAACATACATCGAGCGTTTGAACCGCGTGACGAACAAGAACATTCGTTTGGCTGTGGTTGCCAATCCATCTCACTTGGAGGCTGTTGATTCTGTGGTTCAAGGAAAAACACGCGCCGAGCAGTTTTATCGTGGCGATGGCGAAGGCAAGAAGGTATAGCGTAGGAAATGCTTTATATCAATGATAACATCTCATCTCCTCTTTTTTGAACTTTTATGAGTTAATCCTTAATTCAGGTCATGTCTATTCTTCTGCACGGTGACGCTGCATTCTGTGGACAAGGAATTGTTTTCGAAACAATGCACTTATCTGATTTACCTGATTACACGACGCATGGCACGATTCACATTGTCGCGAACAATCAAATTGGATTTACCACTGATCCTAGACATTCGCGATCCTCGCCATACTGTACTGGTAAGCTTATTGAAAATGTGAAAGATGTCTTAGTCTCATTTTGATGTGCGTTGTGTCGAAACTAATGCTCCCGTTTTACAGATGTCGCAAGGGTAGTTAACGCACCCATTTTCCACGTTAATTCTGATGACCCGGAGGCTGTGATGCACGTATGCAAAGTTGCCGCTGAATGGAGAGCAACTTTCCACAAGGATGTCGTTATCGATATTGTGTCTTATAGGCGAAATGGTCACAATGAAATCGATGAACCGATGTTCACGCAACCACTGATGTACAGGAAAATCAAAAATACTTTACCAGTTCTGGATAAATATGCTAAATCGCTTATCAACGATAGCGTTGTTACCGAGGAAGAAGTCAAGGTACCAAAGTAAACTTATACTATAATTTAATATGTTGAATGCCATGGGGGTCACCGGTGACCCCCAACTAAATCGAATTGCTATAGTTCACTCAATGAAACGACAATTATATGAAAATATTTCTATATAGTGAATAATACTACATAATGCAGTGACATTCAGCTAGATGAACGTGGAATAGTAATAATGCAATTCAGTCAAATGATTTAATATCATATTTTTTTCCATTCAATGTATTTTTCTCTGTGAAATCGTGCGGCGTTCAATGTGTTAATGAATACTTGTAATAGAGTTCTCACACGAATATTACGATGCAGGATGTTAAAGCCAAGTACGAAAAGATCTGCGAAGAAGCGTACACTAATGCCAGGCAAGAGACGCATATTAAGTACAAGGATTGGTTGGATTCGCCATGGTCTGGCTTCTTTGAAGGCAAAGACCCGTTGAAAGTATCTCCTACGGGTATCAAAGAGGATACTCTGGTTCACATTGGCAAAAAATTCTCGTCGCCACCTCCTAATGCCGCTGAATTTGTCATTCACAAAGGTAAAGTGCGCTACGATGAATTAGTTCTAGGTAATTTAAGTGCAAATTGATTTTCAATTACTCAACATACGTCCAGGTATTGAACGTATTTTGAAGTCGCGTATGGAAATGATCGAAGCACGGACTGTTGATTGGGCTCTTGGAGAGGCTATGGCCTTTGGTTCTCTTTTGAAGGAAGGCATCCACGTTAGATTGTCAGGACAAGACGTGGAGAGAGGAACCTTCTCACACAGACATCACGTGCTTCATCATCAAACCGTGGACAAGGCTACTTATAGACCGCTATGCTACCTCTATCCCGATCAGGCCCCGTACACTGTGTGCAACAGCTCTTTGTCTGAATTCGGCGTACTTGGTAGGCGTAATAATAATTTTCGTCGACTAAGATTTATATCATTTAACATTTAAATTAATGCATTTACGTTTTTAATTTCCTAGGATTTGAATTAGGTTATTCCATGACGAATCCCAATGCGTTAGTATGTTGGGAGGCGCAGTTTGGTGATTTCAACAATACGGCACAGTGTATAATCGATCAGTTTATCAGCAGCGGACAAGCGAAGTGGGTACGTCAGTCTGGTCTTGTTATGCTGCAGCCTCATGGGCTTGAGGGAATGGTAAGTTGATTTTATAATAGATTTGGGAATGTATAGTTTACCATTTATCGTTAATGTTTCAATTTAAATGTTTAACGTGACTCGCAGGGTCCAGAACATTCGAGCGCTCGCTTGGAACGTTTCCTTCAAATGTCTGCTGACGACCCAGACTACTTCCCTCCGGAAAGCGAAGAGTTTGCTGTACGCCAGTTGCATGACATCAACTGGATTGTCGCTAATTGCAGTACACCCGCAAACTATTTCCACATCTTAAGAAGGCAAATTGCATTGCCCTTCAGGAAGCCCTTGATCCTGATGACACCAAAATCGCTGCTTCGTCACCCAGAAGCAAAATCTAGTTTTGACTTAATGTTGGAAGACACTGAATTCCTTAGAGTAATACCAGAAGAGGGTGTTGCAGCCCAGAATCCTAGGAATGTTAAGAGAGTAGTATTTTGTTCCGGCAAAGTCTACTACGACCTCAAGAAGGCACGCGCGGAAAAGAAGCTGGACGACAAAGTCGCTATCGCGAGAGTCGAACAAGTAAATAATGCAATTTGGATATCAGTGATCCCTCGTTTCTCCTTCGGGATTTATTAAATTTCATTTTATTGCCTTCCATCTACAGATTTCACCTTTCCCATACGATCTGGTGAAGAAAGAAGCTGCTAAGTATCCCGATGCGGAACTGATCTGGGCTCAGGAAGAACACAAGAATCAGGGTGCATGGACATACGTTCAACCTAGATTCTTCACAGCTCTGAACGGCACCCGCTCTGTTACGTAAGTATCGAATATTTTATATAAACAAGTTACAATTGTTTTCTTTTTGTACATGCAAGTGGAATGATGCTTCTAGTAACTGGTACAGGCAGAAGATACTTATAATTTTGAAATTTGAGAGAATCCGTTATCATATATGATTCTCTTTTAATTCTTTTGCAACATATCACACAATATTTCGTGCATTATACATTCCTTGCATTTGTGTTCCACCTGTTTACACTATCCAACCAATGAAGCACCAGATGTAGCGTAAATTCTACATCCTCTCAGCTCTTGGTAACGAAGTACATTTCCAAATTGTGAATACATGTATCGTACTTGATTTCATAATTTACTTCGTCTCCTATTCTTAGCTGTTCACATGGCCCATGTTTTTCACAGTTGCGTTCACGAGTCAAGATTGAGCAATCTTGGTAGACATAATGATTACCACGAATACGTGTTATACGCTTGAGCACTTTAGTGTTGAAACTTTGAGACGTGATTCTCGCGTGTTCCTTTTTTGTTTCCTCATTTTGTTAAGCAAAGTAAAAACATTGGGCCATGTTGCAGCGGCGGAAATACGTCGTACAAGAGTGACAGTAGCGGAGGTTGGTTTAGCGGTCTGTTTTCATCGTCTAAACCGACAACGACCAGCGCACCCGAGTCGCAGTCGGTAGAATCCGATAAACCAAAACCGAGAACAGTGAGGTAATGTCATTTAACATCGACTAAAGTGCGGCTCACGTGGTCATTTTACATTACACATATTTCATTTTAATAGATGTACACGCAGCTGTCTAATCGTACGATTCGTAGTCTCTTTCACGTGAACGATTTCCTTTGTTTGTTGCAGATACGCTGGTCGTCCAACGGCAGCTTCGCCAGCAACGGGTAGCAAAATGCAGCATCTCAAAGAGCTGAAACAATTGCTCGACGACTCTCTCGATGTTTAAATACCCTTCGTAGCACTATGTAGAACACACATTTTATTTATTTCTCCGCATTATATTTGTTCTATTCCTTTTGTCCCGCTCTACATACACCGTTGCAGAGATCAACGTAGGTTGAACAACTTCTTCATTAGTATCTCATTTATGGAATTAACGCCGGCGCGAATGTTTCCTCGATGACGTACGTGAGGTACGACGTATCGACATTTGATTTGCAAATTCTACTTCTCTCGAATCAGTGGTCCATTCGAGAAATTTCGTACACATGTGCGAAGTAGAACGATCCATTTAATTTCTTTTCTTTTTCTTTTTCTTTTTCTTCGATTAAAACAGAATGTTTCCTATTTCTTTACATCTATGCACGTATGTTTTCGCAATGAGTAATTCATGTAAATGTATGCATTTCGTTTTCGTTAAAGGTTTGAATGTGGTTCTGTATATTATTTTTAGATATGTGACATATTTATATTAGTATGCGAGTTGTATGTTGAGACAGGTGTATGTTTGAGTTTACAGGAACCTTTTATTATGTAAATGTACCGGCACTTAAAAAATGGAGGGGGAAAAAAATAATTACACTGATAAGAAAATTCTACCGCCATGTTTTGCTCATTGCTGGTTCCGCGAGATCTTCTGCCGACGATACTAGTCCGCGTCGATCGGAAATATTCGCGCGTCGACGTCTGTAATTTTATTTTGTTAATACGTCGGTAAAGTAACACTATGGGAACGAATAAGATTAAAAAGAAAGTATTATTTTTAATTTATATAATATAAAAGAATTTACGCGGAGCGTAAATGTACCGAGTAGTCGCGATTGCGGAGTTTTAGGTGAAACTTTTCAGGGTTTTGTCCCGGTTTATACACGGCGATTTTTTTTTTTAATCCGTTTACTTAAGCCGTACCGACAGGCAGCCAATCGATTTAATTTTTTATCGCAGCTCTATTTCTTGTAAAAAGTTAAATAGGTTGGTTGCGGGCTCGATTCATACGAGAGGTCGTGTTGCTGCGTTCGCCTTGATTACGTAACGCGCGAGTAATCGGGCGTGACAGCGTGATGGAGCCGTAACGCCGCTCTTTGAAAAGTTTCAAAAATTTCTCCCTTCTGAGAAGAGTGATGGGAGTAGGAGACAAATTGCTAGTATTAGTGAATACCTAGGAAATAATCTTAATGTAATTAATACCCGAGCCAACTGTATGCGTTGGTTGTCTGCATAGTCTGCGAAGGCACACAGTATTTATACTCTTCTACGCGCGAGTCGTTTGAAAGATGGATTTTATGATTGGAATATTTATCGTACCGTGTCACGTTGATTGGAAAATATTGTATCGCACCCGACCAAGTATTTGTTTGTGGAACCGATACGATGAAATTCGAGGCAACGACGCGCTTCAGCCACGTATCCCGCGCATCGCTAACGTCCCTTCTCTATCCGGAGACATGCGAAACAAAATAGTATTACGATACGAACCCGCTAGAATATCATAGATGCAATGTGGTCCAATGAAAACGACGGTACTGTTATTCCACTTTCTTCTTTTGTTATTATATGCATAATAACGACGATACGGAAACTGTATAATTCAAAAAATAAATATAGATCGAAGTTGCTACCGAAAGTGGACTGAGATTTTATTTAACGCGAATCGCTTCGGCGTCTGCGAACTTGTATAGCCTTATTAGCGAATTAAATTATGTCAATTATTATTTGGTATTTATTAATCATTCTAACACAGTTCTGTTAACAGTGGTCCGAAAAAATGTGATTTTCACAAGATTCAGTCAGGAAAGAAGCACTACATTGGAAACACTTAGCATGCCGCCTATAATCTACTTTCTAACAATAACATCTCGCTTCATCATTTTCATCGTGTTTTGGTTATTTTTTAATATTCGACAATCTTATTATCGTTTATTGCATCATACAATAAATAAAGTATATATATATTGAGAGATATATATTATAAATAAGATATATTTATAGGATCAGTTAAAAAATGAATTAGTAATCAGTTTGTCCCAGCACACTGTACATAATCCTCTTGAAGCTGTTGCTCTGGTGGATCTTCTCACCATCGTCGTCCAGGACATTCACCTAAAAGGAACAGTAAATATTCACAATTCCCAATAATTAAATAAGAAACATTGTTTTGCTATAAATACAAATATTCCGTTTGATAGTAAAGATCGAAATGAAATGTTTTACACTCACGTAGGGCGCGGGACTCTTCGGTCGTACAGGGTGTACCTGAAAATCATTTGTTCGCTCAAGTAGGGAATACAGTTAACAAAAATTCTCGCGGGACGATTGAATCGGAATAAAAAATAAATAATATTATAAATAAACCACGATAGAAATAAAACAAACGTACCCTGTTTTGATGAACTTTCTGCGGTGAAAAGACACCGGTACGCGCCGGTTGTTTCACTTCTTGTACAGTGTCGTCGAGACCTTCCTCTTGCAATGCCTTGTAGGCCTCGCTCTTGCTCGGATCGTACTTCAGCGGTTTCTTCGGGCTGTACCGTTGTATCGCATGTGTACACACGTGCTACTTTTAATTCATTTACTTTTTGTGCTATTTTTTGTTGTTGATGGTTTTAGTGTCTAATGATTCTGTGAAATCGGTTAGCGGCAGCCACAGGGTGTTACATCGCCAAATCGTCGGTTCTAGAGCGAGTTCTCGGACTGCATCCGGTAGCCCTCTATCTAATTTCTCCCGAGCATTACATCCCGCATGACACTAACTCTTTTTTTCAGATTTCTCCACGGACAATAAATATATCGTGAACAATCCGGTTTTTTTTCGTTCGAAAAACACAAAACACAAATTATCGTTGAAACCACGGTCCGTAATCCTCGGGTTTCACGCGATCTACGTAAGCATCGAAATTAGTAAAATCTACCGATCTCCACGTGAAAGTTTACTACGATTAATCGATTATTGAATTAATTGAATTATCCTCTATTCTACAGCATGCAGTAGTAAATCAGACTGTTATTTTACAAACTTCAGCGGGGTTCGTTTTCTCTCTAAGATATCCTTGCCGGTCCCGTCAACGTTACTTCGTGACCGCCACGCGAACCGGAGCGGACACTTCAAGATCCTAGGTAACAAATCTACAAACGGCAGACAACAGAAATCGGATGGACAAAATTTGCAACAGACGATAATCGACGCTGTCAACGGCGGCGAGGCGAATTCGAATTTTGGAAGAACGCGCGAGAAAGCAGCTAAATAAATAAAAACGTCTCGAACTAATTGGAAAGAAAATTAATTCGGCTTATTGAATTGCGGCCACACGTTCTTCGAGGAGGCGGCCGCGGCCTGCTCCTTCAAGATTCTCGCTTGCTCCTGTATTTCTTGTCTCTGTTTCACGAAGGAAAAGTCTATGAAAATGCTGTAAAACAAACAAATTCGCACTTGAGTGGAATCCATTCATAACAGAGGCGCGATCGTGTAAAAACCTAAGATTCCGCTGCGCGCAATCGTTTAATCGCCGCGTATCCCGTCGATCCCGGCCAGCCAACGAGTCTCCGTCCCAGAATATTCGAATACGATCCTATACCAAAAAAGACAAGCCCGTTTCTTAATAAATTTCGTATTCTTCGAACCGACCGTGAGTGATATTAGTGATCGAGCCATGCGCCGCGCAGTTCATAACACGCGTCTAAGAAATGTCTTACAAACTAAACACTGTCGAACCTTCCGGGTATAAGCTGTATCAAATATATTCATGGAAACATTATCTAAATGTTTCGTGAACATTTCAATTTTTCGACGCTTAACAGAACATTTGAATAATGTTTGCAGAAGACAGTGCAGCTTCTACGAGAAGGCTCGAACAGTAAATGAGTACAATTACTATGTATTATATTTGATCGTTACGTCGATGATGATATCGAGGCATTGGTACCACACTCTGTGATTCGTAGCGTGCAACTGCTCGTTAGTTAGATGATCTTTCCTTCGTTTCCCTTTCGTTTTATTTTAGAGTTAATTGTCTGATGAGTCGCAGCATTCAGCAAAAGAAAAACCAGTTCGTATTAATAACTAAATTAACTTGATTATTCTAGTGCACGCTCCACGGATAATGCGGTCTCTTCTTGTTCGGAAAAGAGGTCTCTCTCTTGTAGTACTTACGGTATGGCGGATGCTTGGCACTTAATAGTGTCCGCGATATTCTGCTCGGAGTAGAGGCCGATCGGTGAGTTGAATTGCTTGTGGACTACCTGCGAGGAAAAATCGAGCCGTTCAGGAAAACAGTGACTGCGCAACACGGTAATAAATTAATTCCAATGCCGGAAGTGCCTCAGACATTTTTTATCCTTGTACTTAATTCAGTAAGTCATATATTTACTATTGGAAACGTGTATGTTCGCCATGAGTTGAAAAGAATGAGAGCGATCCCGATGGGCCAACGTGTCATACAATGATATAATCATGAAATCGCAACGCGCTTGTGTACTGAAAGTGTTTTTATTCTGTGCGCAGGTTAATCGACGAGAAAATGGCGGTCGCATGCGATGCGTTATCGATGGGTAGCCGTAAATGATGATGTTTGTGCAGTTAGGTGTACGTGAACAGCTCTCGATGAAAAAGCGGAAGCGTTTTCGACGTCGCGCCGAAGCTTAAGCGACTCTAGAATAAATTGGTCCAAACCTTTGGAACTTCGTTCGGTCCCAAGACACGTTGAAGTACCGATTCCGCCACCTAGTTGGACGTTCCATGGAAAAAGTATTGGTATTTACAACGCTAAACTCTGTCTCGCGGCAACGAGCATTCGGTTCTTTTCTATCGGATAGAATTTACATTCTCTACTCCCCGTCCTTCATCTGTCTTTTAATTTCTTTTCAGGGAAGAACCGGGATTCGTTCGCGTACCTTTTGCTTCATAGCAACCTCGGGATGAGCCGGTTCGTAATGATGAGGCGCCGCCCTGATCATCGGATTCGGATGATGGCGCAGGTAACACTCTCCGAGCGGAGCATCCTTCTTGACCTTAGCACCCGGCAAGACCAGAGGAGTCGTGCGGTACGGCTGGAAGTTCATATGTCGTTAAACTCGCGCGTAACATCGATACTGTTGAAAGCTAGACTTTCAGTTTGCAACTTGGATGTTCGGCTTACAACTATCATAGGCTAAAGTATTCTATTTCACAAAGCCTCGAAACCAAACGAAACATCCGGGGTTGCTTAACGAAGACACTGGTCTTGACACCGGTCAACGCGTATCCCGTGAAATTAGAATAATTAACGATCCGCGGACACCGAAATTACACCGAACGCTCTTGATCGGATAGGTAGGCGTGTGGAATGCTCTGCCAGAATGGTGTCAATTACCGCCTAACGGAATCTAAAATAAACCTTAATAGAGGCCATAGTGATCGATGATACCTCATTAATTCCCGACACCGCTGCGATAATGGAGGCCGGCTTGCATTTATGAATCCGACCGAAAATAAATCGGTGATAAGTTGGCGGCTATATCGGAGCTGTTTTCGATGTATCTCGTATTCGATCGAACGATCAAAGCAACCTCGCGTGCGCTCGAACCAATATCGCGACCCGCGAGGTACGCTATGGTAGCCGATTCGAATCGACCGAGCCAAAAGTCGCGAACAGCCTCTTAATTTATACACGGTGAATCACTTGACACTCATAGTCAAAGAATTTCCGAAAATATTTCCGCGGCGTGTTTAGCCTTGTTTTTTATTAAGAGGCGAGGCCTCTTAATCATTTTTTCATCGGCGGATGATTCGCGGAGTGATTCGACATATGCGTCAGGTGGTCCGCCTTGTGTTCTAGCGTTTAAGCGTTTCGCGTAAATAACCGTTGTGGCGAAATGGCAGGAGCCTACGATAATTTTGGCAAGACCGTAACAACCGGAAGCGGGCCGCGCACTGTATAGAAACCGCCGACTCGCGTATATCGCTCGATGACCGCTGCACGCGCGCGCGGAACCCGCAAAAAGCGTCTAAAATTTCGACGGTTTGGCTCGCGGATCGCTAACACAATGAGCGAAATTGCGTATGTAACGTTACCGTTGCGGGCGAAACGTTTGCCAAGCGCGCTCGGATTCGGCACGTTATGTCAGCCGTCGCGACTGCTCCGTCCACGGAATGACGAAATTATTGGAACCGCGGAGCCATTGTATATGGCACGCCGAGGATGATACTGGTGTAAATCAAATATTATCAGAAACGAGGCGGACATTTTCTCTGTGAAATCTGATGATTTTTGTACTTTTATCTAGTTCAATTTTCAAAGTGGATGGTAGTTTACGATTAAATTAGATGTTACTAAATACTATGTATTTAGTAAGAAGAGTATCTTTCGAGTTGCCAATAAGTATGGTGAAACTTAATTCTCTGAGTGGCACGCATCGGGCGACTTACGCCATTATGATTCATAGGACTCTATACGTTAAGCTATGATTAAGTGATTACATCTGTTAGCGCGTGCTCGAGCGGACACGGCGAAAAGCGATGCGTCGATCGTCGGTCGTTGCCGAAACACGACAAAAATGACAATGTCAAACCGGACCGGCGTAAAAAGAACGCGTACGCCAGGATAAAGTTACCCGGCGTCGTATTTATAAGACAGGCAAGCGAGAATAGAAGATCGAATTTGAGTTCGTTCGTTCGCCATTGATTTTATTTGGAGCGCAACGCGGAGAGCCGATTCGATGCAACGGCCGATCTCCACGCGAAAACGTGATCGTCGCGAGGATTCCGCGATAAATTAGGTCAGGAACATTATTTTCACAGGATGAGCAACAGTGACTCTTTCTCGAAATAGACGAAGGCCCCAACCCGGCAAAAATAACGTGTACCCCGTCCGCCATGAAACCTGTTCCGTCGTGGTTGAACGCTTGTCAATATTTCATCAAATCGACGGACGGTCCGTAGCCGTTTCATAATACGCGGTTCGTCGTGCGATTCATGAAATACCCTAACCGCGAAGTAGGAACCGAAGAATCTCTTTAAACAAAATTCAATTCTACCCAGTATTTCATAGAAGAAACCCGAAGATCGCGGCAAATCAACCAACGAAAGAACTAACAAACACGATCGTCGATGAATTACAAGAAAACCTGCTAAAAGCTACGGGAACAGTTGTTTAGCTCATCATCTACAGCTCTGGGAGCTAGTGTTCTAAATCATACGACTGTCCGCGGGAAATCGGCTCTACGCGCGATAAATCCGAGGCCCAATCGTTTTATTAGATCAGCCCCATCGATCATCGATCTTAAATCATTCCACGTGTCCCGTAGGGGACTGCAACGTTGCAGAAAGAGGAAGCTAAGCTGTTCGCGTCACTTCTGTTACAGATATGTCCCCGAACTAAATTCAGCCGCGACGGAACAGCTGTTCCGAAGAGTGTTTACGGCTTGGCTCGGGACGCGGCATCGCCGAAACTTGAACTCCGCACGAAATTTTCCAGAGATTTTTCCCCGGAGCGCGCACCGGCCAGAAGCTTGTGTGTCCTTCGGCGGTGATCTGCTCCGACGAATCCGTCTCTGGAATCCGCGGCGATCGTTCGTAATCGGTCAGTCATGTTCGAACGCTCGGGACACGAGCAGCGGGACGGAACGGCGATTTACGACGGTTATTTTTTAACGGGCGATGTAAAGAATTCAGCGGCGAATTCGTCGCTTTCGGAAAGCCGGGGAACGAGAGGGGAGGGAGGTGTGGGTGTGTCGTTGTGTCGACCCTCTTCTGTTTGAGTAACCCAGATCTCGTTCACGAAAATAGAATAAGATACCGATGAACGGTTCGGCGGCGTGGTTACGTGCGTTTTATTGCATCTCGTTATTAGCCGGTCGTGCACCGGCCACGGTAATTATTCTTTCGTCGGCGGGCCGGCGCTGCTCTTTCCGTTTCCTCGCATTTCCCGCGAAACGCGCGGCCGCGATCCACCCGCGAGATTCGCTTCCACCTTGCCGTAATGTCACCGGGATAGACATTGAGACCTAGTCCCACATTCGGAGACGGTGTCAAGGTTGGCTCGCGGCATTATTCGGAATCAAGATCATCTCACGTTACGCGGTCTTCGCGGTGGATCAAGAATTCGGCACGAACTTCGCGCAACACCGCTCCTATTCATCCTCGATTCCCTCGAAGTTTTGAGACACCGAAGGATCCTCTTGCTCAATTCGCGGCATGCCCGTTTTCATGCTCAAGGATCATTGCCGAAATCGGGGATGATTTGCGAGGAACGCGGGGAAGTTGGCCGTAGCCGCGATTCGACGGGAGCTTCGAAATTCGATAAATCGGAAAACCGTGAATCCGGCGTGTATCCTACTTTGATCGCGCCTCGAGATTAATCTCGAGCGTTGCTTCGAAGTTCGAAGCTTTACTGAAGTTTTGCCAAAACCCGTCGACTTTACGAGCTACTGCCACGGACGATCGTCGGCAATTGGAACGATCAGCGAAGTAAACAGAGGAGAAAGCGGAATGGTTGTTAGATAAAACAATGAACAGTCTTTTGGCGACGCCGCGGGGACCGTAAATTTGTTCGTTGAAACTGCTCGCGTGGAAATTAAGCGGGGAACCGGCCGGTTTCGGATTCGCTGGACGATCCGCTTTTCTCGGATGATCGATCGGTGATTTTCGCGCGCGATTTCCGTACCCAGTACACGGCGGCTTCTTCCTCCTTCGGGTGGTGCTCGATGGTCTGACGATAAACGGTGGTGTAGGCCGGCATCGTTCCCTGTGGTTCCGTGTGTTCCGTTCACCCTTGTTCCTCTCGTTCCCCGTCCGAGAACGTCGACACCTTTTTCCTCCGTAGATCCCTCTCCTACGAATATTCTCTAACGCACTGGCTCGTTGCGCGGGCGGCACTAACTCTGGTCTTTTCCACGCGACTCCTCTCGCGCTCTTTCTTCTCCTCTCCCGTATTACCGACGTATCTCGATCACTCCTACGTTTCACCCTCTTGATCGTCTATACGATCGCTTTGCCCTCGACCGTTCTCGCTCCTCCGCGACTTCTCCGCCGCACTTCGTGCCTTCTCCCGAAGATCGCGTCGCGATCATTCCTCGCCGGTCGAACGATCGCTTCTCGATCGACGGTCACGTACATCTCCATCGTCTTCCGACCCTCCTGGATAGGTGGTCGCACGGTGTTTCGGTGGAAATGCTGCGGCCGTATGATATTTTGGCGAACGGCTCGCATCGCCGATGATAAATCTCGAGAGGCCCAGTTCGTTCCACGAGAAACGGTAACTCGATCCGAGTATCAGCGATTTAGAGTCTCGTCAACGGTGTTTCCCTTGGCAGCAACCCTTCCCACGCTAAAGTCAAGGACAGCGATTTGCATAAACGGAACGCGATTGTCTCGATCTCGACGTTCGTCCAGCTTTAACTTCGGGAAATCGATTAATCCTTCTGTGATCTTCGATTTGTATATTATTAAAAAAGTAGGAATGTGTAGTATAATTAATACTGTCTTGTACTATTTTCAGGTTTGAGAACATCTTGGACAAGATTAGAACGCGAGTTTCCTAGAAAAGATCAAACAAATCGGTGCTGAGGAAACGAAAACATTATTGGATCATGCGGAACCGAAGTATGCAGCAGAGTTAAAACGTTTCAGCCTTGATCGGTCTGTTTGCTAAGATTTTCTTTGTTTTGCAGGGTTACGAGATCGGATTCGGCCGTGTTACGTGGAGCTGGAGCGCGCGTAGCCGTGGATACGATGCAACAGGATGGATAACGATGTCCCCGTGATCGTCCTGAATCGCGTAACATTGGATCGGAGCAGTGGTTCCGATGCAAAAGCGATATTTATAGCGTGGCGACTGCCTCTACGCGGACTTTCCGGCATCGTGCGGGCCAACAAAAATATATTCGCACTTCGGATGTCTCGCAGAACGAACGCCCGCTTCTTCGTCTTCGTCTCCGGGCTACCCGCGAGATTACGCCATTCATTTCTCGCCTGTTCCTTGGTCGCTAGCCCGGACAATAGAATAGTACAACTAAATCGATCGGCTTGCCGGATGAATCTTCGGACCTCGCCTCTCGTAAAATTCATTCAACGCGAATAAAACCAGTTGGACGCGTTTTGGCTCGTAAAATATAACTATTTAACCATAAAATCTTCGGACAAACAGGAAGAAGTATATAAAACCGTTGAAGATCACGTCAAGTGATTGAAAGATTAATTAGAAAGTATCAGAGATCAGTAGACGTTTCCTCATCGAGCTAACGCTACATTATCGTTTCAGGGTAACACCGATCATCAACGAGCGCATCGCGGAAACGTCTGCGAGGAGAGGACACATCCAAGTGGCAACTATGCAAACGGAAACGTCAATCCGACCAAGAACTGGACGCGGAAGAATAAACGGCCCCTGTCGCTTCGACGGCCTCTATAAACTTGTAACTTAACGACCGCGCGTGCAACCGCTTACATAACACCGTACAAGAGCATAACTTTCATGCGATGTTACTTTCTTTCGGACACGCTCGAGCCAAGGCCGAGCTCGGGCAAGCGATACGTCAACGCGTCGAAATTAATCGCGGAAATAGCGAATTAAATTTGCCCCGTCCGAGGGGATCGCGTTGAGTTATTGGATTTCAAATTGCGAGAGCGACGAGCAACTTGCCAGACAGAGGTTCGGCCCGCGCCTCGCCGTTTGAAGCCCGATAAATCATCGTTCGCCGTGGGCCGCCTTGAATTCGTTCGATCGACTAGGAGAACGGAAATTCAAAATGTATAAGGAGTCATTCGATCCGCAAATCAGCGAGGATTAACGGCGTGCGCAGGCCGTGTACTATCGGTCGAAATAGCAGTCCGACTCTAAACTTAGTAACTTAGTTCCCCCGCAACTTGTCAATTCCGCACGGACAACCGAGGATGTTCGGACGGGGCGCCGCGCCGCGCCGCGGCTATTCGACGGCTTGATGGAATGGAATTATTCGTCGGAGGAAATTCGGCGCAACGCCCGCGCCGGGTAGCGTCGACGGTTTGAAAGCGTGTGCGGTAGTCGCGTCGATTACACGCAAACGAGACGCTGTATTTGCGGATCAACGAACTCCTCGGGAAATCCGGGCGAATCAGGCCACGTTTACAAATTCGATTTCCGGAAGTAAATGCTACACCGTTCACGAAGTACAGAACTGGCGTGCTTCGAAATTGCAACGCCGAGATCTCAAGTTGGTATAGAAAGATATAATACTCTACGAGTATTGTGATTTGTATAAAGTAGGCTAGGCTTATGATACTTTATATCGTCAAGGTGTTGCAATTTTCATACGCGGAAGCGTGTTTGACGGACGAACGAGACCTGCCGGGTCGCGATCGTTGACAGCGCCGAACAAATGAATAACGGCGAAACAATGAGCGAGCAAAGATTCTCGGATTCGAGTAGACGTGGCCTGTTCGTTCGTGTTCACCGCTTCCGTTCTGAAATTGGTGTACCCCTGGTACCTGCGACAAATGGATTCGCTCCTCGCGAACCTCGTCGAGATGTTCGTGCGGCAGAACAAACGTTTCCGACGGAGTCACGGACCGACTGAATTCGTCGTAGCAGGGCGGCGGCACGGGGCTCTTCGGCAATTCCGGTGTCTTCGGCGGTTTAGCTCTGCGATGGAACAGTAAATCTTATTATTAACGAGTCCACTCGATGGAGACCCACTCGAGGAATGCTTTGATGCTGCTCGGCAACCACTATCCCGATCGCGCGGTATTGCGTCGCGCGCGTGCAAATGCAGCCCAGAAATACAGCCATGTTTCGGATTAAGTCACGCGTTAGGCGCATTCAAGCGGAGCGAAGCTAGTTCTCTTTTAGCCAGAAGTTAGGCGGGGCTCGATCGACATGCTAAACGGTTTCTTAGAAAAAGTACCCACTCGACCGTTGCGATTTAAGCAGCGAGAAACGTTCTGTCAACTACGTAAAAGTTGTCGGAAATTGTCACGTTTGAGGTCGTCCGAAAGTAGACTATAAAACGAGCGCGTTTTATTTATGTTTTTCAGTGTATTCGTCGCGGTTAGGTCTCAGGTTGTCTTACAGTTTAATGCGAAGACGTTGAAGTTTACCGAACCTAACAAAGCGAGAAGTGGTTGCCGAGGCGACGATTGTGTGAGCGGTTAATGAGGCGCTGCGATTAATGCTCGAGAATATGGTGACGATAGAGAGACAGAGTTTAATGAATTGAGAGTTAATGGCGATGTTACAGAGCGGCGGTAGCGCGGTGGTAGCGGCGCGACAAACGGTTGCGCATAATATATAAAGGTGGTATGGCTTTCTGACAGACTAGTGACCGCAGCCCTGTTGCCAATGCTCGGCTTGATAATCGGAGGTGACGTGGTAATGTTGATACGAGATGCACTCGACTGCTCAGACCTTTCGATTACAAGCTTTATAGAGTCAGAGGTTTGAAGGAGTTTCTGGGCGTCTACATGCCTCACGTCTCGCACGTCGTAATCGTCGATTTTCTTGATCACATCACCCCTCTGGAGCGCCTCGTTCTCCGACTGCAAAACAGAATAGAATTCCCTTGAGTAACGTTCACGGTCTCCTTGCTTTCTGGTTGCTCAATTAATCCTTGCACCTCGTGCAGCGTTAAGCATTTCTTCGTGTTGTCTTTTAATTAAGCGACTAGAATAACAAGCCTCGGCATTAGTTTCATATCACTATCGACAAGATGTCTTAACAATCTAGGCACAACTAGAAACGCGGTGATTCCCAGAATAGAAGTGTACTGAAAATTGTTGAACAGAGTTATTTCTTAGAGTCGATTTCCTTAGAATTTTATTGTTCACTTCGTTTTCATAAAGAATCACCCTTTCTTGTTGTACCTCGATTGTTAGGATGTTGCGTGTATTAGTACAGTTTGGGGTGTGGTTTAGAAAGAAAACAAGCAGCCAAGTAATGTCGCGAATTATTTTAATCAGTTCGGTTACTCGTAGGGGAGCACACCCAAATGCTGTAAGGGATTAGAAAAAGGTTGATAAATGCAGTAATGCACGATTATGCTTTAACGATCAACAGCTTTTGGACCGGGTCCAAACGTGTTTATGGCCTCTCCTTTCTGCCTTCGACAACTGGTGCCAAAAAGAATCTAGCCGAGACGATCGTGAAGGTGCACGAGATTAGGGCGCACGTGACAGGTGGATGCTCGAGGTGCACATTAAATCCAGAAAGTCTTTCAACGCTGGGCGATTGTATCGCCTGAGAGTTAATCGCGGTCGAGACAAATCGACGGGAACAAAGTATCCGCAAACGGCTAGCCTTTTCTATCGAACGTTCGTATAATTTCCCTCGCAATTGAGCTTTTCGTCAAAGCTTCAGATTCCCGTTGTCTTTACCGAGAGTTCCATCGTCGATCAACGCCGAAAACCGTCGGCCGTTGATACAGTCCGAGACACGAACATGTCAAGTTCACGAATGCAGTCGCGTCGGTTTAACGTTCACGGGGAACAAAGGCTTGCACCGTGGCAGAAAAAGATGAAAAGCCGAGAGTCTATAACGCGGTAAATATTATGCTATTGGCAGGAGGTAGTCTTCGTTAGAAAATAATCTGGATCCCCTGCTGTTCCGCTGTGGATGCTCCGCTGTACATCCAATAATAACTGTACGGCGGCAACGCGTGCGAATCGAATCAGTGTGTTACCGCATGCATCGGGCAAACCCGCGTCGAGGAGGCGAGCACGATTAAAACGATGATTAAATAGAAAGAATGAATGAATGAATGAGAGAAGAGAAAGAGAGTGAGAGTGAGAGAGTGAATCAGAGAGGAACTCACGCGGGTGACGACGATCGGCGTGCCCAAATCAGCGCCTCCGGCGATACGTATTCCCCAGGGTCTGCCGGTGGTGGATCTCTTAAGCTTCACGATCAACGTTTGTTTCCTCGTCATGCTCTACTCCGTCTGTCACAACAACGCAACCGCGTGTTTAGAACGGATACAAAACCGAGCTGCCTGAGATCCTCGGTCGAGGAGAACCTACGAACAACGCGAGACGCGGGTGGCGAGAACAAAAATCACCGTGTAGAAAGAGAGCACAGAGTACGAAGGCAAGTGAAAAAAAAACGTCGACGAGAGAGAGACAGAGAGAGAGAGAGAGAAAGAGAGACAACGAGAATTATCCGACGGACCTCGATAGAGATCGTTGACAGGGATCGGACACGACACGAATCCGTGGCGAATCGGGACGGTGTCGAAGCCACTGCTCGGCTTACGCTCCTTACTGGCAAACGAGAACTACTGGGCTGCGCTCTGCCACTTGATTTTGACAGGCTTTACTTCAGCGAGCTTAGTTACCCAACTAACCGGCCCGCCGCTTCTGCTATTCTGGCCCCATTTCGAATTGGCATACCGTGTGTGTATTGTTCTGGCCCGACCTGCACTCATTTCTCTGGCATTTGCGGCCTCCCCGACTTTTGCTGCGTCTAACCATGGGGACCATCGATCCCCTACGAAATCCAATATCCCGTGGGATACTCCGCGCGCGTTTTACAATATTTTACAGTTCCCGCGGCGATCCCGGGCGGGTCCTAAGGTAGCCAGGGTACTTGTTAGTCCTTTGGATGCGCGAGGTCGGTGTTCCTTGGAATTACAATCAGGGGTCTTGAATTAACGAAGACAGGGGGCGGAAGGGCACATACGCAAGCTGCACAAGTAGGGTACTTCTCACAGTACTTTGAAACCTTTCGCTTAACAGAGAAACTTACTTTAACGGTGCGCTTGCGATTCGCCAGGATGCGGTCTTACACCGTGATGAGTTTCTAGTTTAAGTGGGCGGGGGGCGACTGTAATCCTTAGACAAGAATCGATCTACAGGAGTATCGGTTTATATTACAGAGACGGGGTGTGCCGAACGAGGGAGGTGTGGAGAGAGAGGCTCGCTCGGTCTTGTCCTATACTCACATAGGTCTCGTAAAAATTGCTTATAGTGAACTTGAGTGCCATCCTTCCTGTTCGACGAAATCAGTCGGCTCTATTGCTTTTTCCTCCCGTTCGATTCACGGACGATCTTTCTCCGAGTGACGTCCGCGAGCGATCGAAAGCAGCAGCCTCTCTCCCCTATCTGGGCTCCGTCCGAATTCGTTTGACTGCACCGTCGTTAATGGGGACTAAATCAGGTGGAAAGAGGAAGAAGAAAAGAGAGTGTCCGCGATGAAACGAGAGAAACAGACTACACGTAAGTTTGACTTAAATTAGCTACCTATAGCGCGAAAGGTTAGTCAATCTAGTCCCGAGACTGGACCGTTCTAGTGACTCATTTATCTCGATTTACACGATCCTAAGAAAGTGTACGCGTAGCTGTCGGGTTACAAGATTGGCAATACCAATGACCCATTAATCATCTATCGATATGCCGTTTGGATGATATACATCGCGTGCGGTCGCTAAGAATGGATCCCCGCGATGCGGCGGTGAAGCTCGAAAAAGAAAATTGTGATTCGGGTCGGATGTGCGGACGGTTCGATGACATTGTTCGAAAGATTACAAAAATACATCTTTATTCCCGAGATTCGTAGAAACGGCGGAGACCGAGGAACTGAAGGAAAAAGGCGTTAAATCTTTTCATGAATATTCTTGGGTAATCACTCTGCTGATTACCATTCGACGGATTTCATTGGTGCCAGCGCCGATCTCGTATAACTTCGCGTCTCGTAAGAGTCTTCCTGTAGGATAATCGTTTATGTAACCGTTCCCGCCTAGAACAATTGAAATAACATCGTGACCAACATTCGTGGACGATCAGCGACAAGCCCAAACAATTTACCAAGTATTTGGATCGCGTCTAAAGCAGCTTTCGTGGCGTATTCAGAGATATGAAGTATCACCGCGGCACAATCCTTTCTATTCGTGTATCCTGCGTCGCAGGATCGTGCTACGGTGTATAGGTAACTCCTGCAAGCGCTCAGGCTGGTATACATGTTCGCTATTTTCTCCTGGAACATTGTAATCCAAAAGTAGACGGCTAAGTACGTAGATTACCATCGTGTTTCGTAATATGTAATGCTACCTGGATAAGCTGAAACTCTTCTATGCGTTTACCAAACTGTTGCCTCGCGTGTGCATATTCGAACGCCACGTCGCAACACGCTTGAAGAATTCTGACGTTGAGAAAAGAATTAAATACGTTAATTAGAGCTGTTCAAATCTATGTTAAAAAGTCGGAGGATTCTCACCCTAAGGGGCCACCCGCTAATACCAGTCGTTCCAGGTCGAGACCACTGAATAGGACATATATGCCTTTATTCTCTTCGCCTAGCACGTTTTTCGCTGCAATCGATAACGATTAATATCTCGTCAGACGGAAATCATATGAATTACAATTACTATAAACTTTCTATGAATTACCTGGAACTTTACAGTCCTCGAAAACAAGCTCGCCAGTGTTCGAACCCCGCATCCCTAGCTTGTCCAATTTTTGAGCAGTACTGAAACCTTCGAATTCTCGCTCCACGATGAAAGCTGTGATACCGTGTTGCGGTTTCTCCGCATTTGGATTCGTTCTTGCGTAAACAACCAGGGTTTCCGCGTCCGGACCGTTCGTGATCCAGAACTTGTTCCCGTTTAAGACGTAATAATCCCCTTTTCTTTCGGCTCGCAGTTTCATGGAAACGACGTCCGATCCAGACCCTGGTTCTGACATTGCCAGCGCACCAATATGCTCTCCGCTGCACAACTGCGTTATACATCGTATATATTAAAATTCAGCAATTCCTTTTAGATTAATGTCTTGCAATATATGGGCAAAACAATTAGGGACAATTTTGTATGAAATAAATAAAAGTATATCCTTCTTTTTTAGCTGAAGAGTCTCTTTGTTGCGATGTAATTATTACCTTCGGCAAATACTTATGTTTCTGTTCTTCCGTGCCATTCCTGTGAATCTGATTGATACACAAGTTCGAATGCGCGCCATAACTGAGTCCTATAGATCCCGACGCTCTGCTCAACTCTTCCATGATAATCACATGATCCAAGTATGTCCCATCTGTCCCGCCATATTCCGGTCGCACCGTAATTCCCAGTAATCCTAAGTCTCCCAATTTCCTCCAGAACAGTCGAAGATCGTCGAAGTTGTTCTTCCGGTCGATCTCGGCGGCCTTCGGCGCAAGCTCCTTTTGTGCGAAATCAAAAGTCAACTGCCGCAGCTGTTTGAAACAGAATATTGTTTCTCGTTAATATCAGTATAGATGTACGGTTGATTATCGTTTGAAACAACAGAACAGAGACATTGAGTCTGTAAGTCTCTAAGTTGTGCATTTGAGTGGAGAACATTTAAGTTCCGGAATCCTAAAGAAATGAATAAATACTTTTATGTTCTATTGTTCGTCTATGTTTTCATAGGTATCCACAAGTCGACCACACTTGCGTAATGTTTTGTAAAATACTGATAACCTTCGTACTACGACCTAATTCTGTTACAAATCTACTAACCTGTTTCTGTTGATCATTTAAGCTGAAGATGTTGTCATCTACCTTATAATATTGTGAGGAACACCTTACACTGAACTTGTTAATTAGTCCAGAAGAACTCCGAAGAACCGACCTTGTAAATTTGTACATACAAAGTTCCATATTTTTTGTATTCTCACTTCGTTAGCTGTTCTTTAGGTTACACCAATTGTACGTAATGAACCAGTGATTCTGATAACGTACATTATTTCTTCCAAACCCTGAACTCGACAATGTTCTGATATGGCAGTAAACACCGAAGAATAATACATATTTATCAATGTATAATATCATGCCAAATGTATAATGTACAT